AGGCTATAGGCCTTATATCATTTCAGTGGATTGTTTTCATTTTTAATCCTTGTGCAGGAAGCACAGTCTACATATCTTACATGCTGCCACCGACTTTACCAGAGGAGAGAATAGCAAACACTTTAAATACGGCCTGAAGGTTTTTATTTGATTTCATAAAGGTTAAAAAATACGGGAGATTTACGGGGAAAACGGGAGGGCTGACATGAGAGGAGTAGAGAGAGGAGTGGGGTAATGTGAGGCTACATCCACGCTGCTACGTTTTTAAAACCGTTTTATAGCGAAAACGATCTTCTTCAGCGTTTCAGCTGCGTATCAGAGTTGATCTCTGTCTATATTGGAACAACTGAAAACACACATCTAGTGGCCGTTCAGGTAGCTATACTGGGCATGCGCGTGCCAGTGTAAACATGAAGCAGATGGTCTACTCAGCAGTAGCAGACAATTTAGCGAAAGAAGAAAGTAATACAGACCAAGAACCATTCCAGGCTTTTTTCTTCTTTTTTTTTTTTGCATTGACCGACAACGAGGTGGAAATGTTACTGAAAGTAACACGGGAGTACGAGAGACGGCGGCGGAAAACAGACTGGGAGTTGTTGCAAAGTAAATACAGCAACATGCACAGTAGGCTAACTGTTAAGTGTTATTTACACAGTACGTATAGTTTAATAAAAATACCAAAACTAAAACTCTGTAAGTATCATCGTGTTTTTGCTTTGCATGACTGATAAGACCGACTCACAAAGCCAAATGTGAGTGTGTGTCATCCTTTTATAAAGTCCTCTGTTTTGTCCATCGGGTCCGCAGCGTTTTCAAACAAACATCTTCTGATTCACCGTTTTAATCATCTGGACGGGAAGCGGAAACGTAGCGAAAGGTCTCCGTTTTTGTAACGAAAACAGAGAGAGAGAGGCAGTCAGCTGATTGAGTGGCGCTGCTCTTTGCATCAGGAAACTCACACTGCAGGATGAGTCTCTCTCTCTCTCTGCCTGATGTGTCTGTTAAACTCCGGTTGCGGGTGGATTGTGAGAGAGATGAGCACAGCTGCGACAGTTTCACATGATCGCTCCTGCGTGTTGCTCCACTTGTCTGAATTCTGCTCAACTCTAATTGTAAATGATTATGTGGGCACATTAATCCCTTCTTGTCTGAGAAGGACTTTGGTGCTAGCTAGCTTAGAAAATGGCTCACACAGCGTAGTGAAACATTTTAGTTGCCGTTGAAAATTTGTCTGGCCAGTACTGCATCATCTGATCGGCTTTTCTTATCGGCCTTTTTAGGGACCACCGATCAATCTAGTTAAAGACATTATCGGCCGATTATGATCGGTGACCGATCGATTAGAGCACCTTTAATAGACATTGTCTATCGCACTACTGTGGAACCTCTCAGTTCATTTTCAATTTCCAAGAGGCGTTATTAACAGGAACAGACCTGGACCTACAAACAATCAGAGCCACAAAACGTGTGAGGTAGTGCTCGAGCATTTAGAAAGAGGAGAACTCGCAGGGAATAACAATCCCACCAATTGGTCCAGAGGCTTCGCTTGGATGATTGTTGGTTCAAGTCTTATTTTAGGATGAGTCAGGGACAGTTTGAAAATCTGCTGTCAATCATCAGGCCTAGTATCACAAAGCTTAGCACTAACTACTTGGGGCCGGATTTACTAACATCCCAAATAAAGAGTACTAAATTGCGTGTGCATTCTAAAATATTGCATGTATATATTAGTACCTTTTATGGGTGATTAACTAAGTACAACCGTCGTGCTGTGAACACGAATGAATTTCCCACGTGATCCATGCACTGCAGCTGGGGGCTCCTCGCAGCACCATGCAACTTTCTAAATTCTTCCATCCAATATTGTTCATTTCTCTACGTCTTCTTTCATTACGCCTGTCTCTGCTTCTCGCAACGATAACAGCAGCCATCTCTGCGCAACACTTGGCGGTTTGCATGTTCCTAACGTATTAAATACAGCTGCTGTTGCACTCACAAGAAATTGCTTTTAGGCTTGTTAGATCACATTGCTGTAGTAAATAAATGTATTTGCATGTTACTTTGCACAATAAAATTGAAACGCCCTAAATTGCATATTCATTAAGGCAAAAGTAGTAAATGAACAACAGGTGCTATCTTGCACTTTTGGAAGACGTCATTCTCCGTGCACACCGTTAGTAGATCAGCTTATGTGTTAATTTGCTGGTGATATCATGTTTGCATAAGTTTTTACTCACACAAACATTTAGTAAATCTGGCCCTTGGAGTCTTACCCAAATCTCTCCAAAAGTATTGCAGTAATTTGCCTCGAGGACTGTTGTTTCCTGTTCAAACTGTGGTAACAGTGGTTGATCAAAATCATAGAGCTCAGGGTATTCAGACGCCTCTCTCTGCAAAAAGCTCAATCTGTCTGATCGATTACTTGACCGATGGGAGAGTGAGAAAGTCATGCAGACAAACATTTTTAGTACTTCATGATAAATGACAGTATCTTATTTTCAGTTTCTACCTGTTAAATTCACACATGCAATACAAAAAAGTTTATAAAACATTTTTGAATAAACATTTGATGGGTTTTGAGTAGAAGTTTCCTCCTGCTTCAAGTAATTTGCTGAACCAGCCTAAATATGTTTTGGACATACCCCCTGTATACAGGTCTCAATAACAGTCAGTTTGAAAAAGACCTGATCCAAAATGCATTCGACAGGAACAGACCCAAAAAGAGAGAGAACACCAACACTAGCAGCAGCACAATGTGCAAGCAATTAACAGGCACTTTTCCTGCACTTCACAGTTCACACTCTCCATCTCACCTTAAAACAACACATTTTTCTCTTGTAATGATTATGGCACACCACATAATCAGATCTGACAGCAAGTCCTGTCATATCCACTAGTTCACAGACAAACCAAGGACCCACAGCAATAGAACCACACCCGACTCAATCAGACTGAAAATAAATTGGACCCCTGACATTTTTACTTAGTTTTCTTGCTTTAAACACAACAGAAAGTCTGTTTTGCTCTTTGAAAATTTGTCACTTCAGTTACAATATATAACTGGGTATTCAGATTCAGACACTATGCACTGTGAAAAAGGGCAATTAAAAGAATACACTAAATCAGCTGGTCCTGATAACTTGGAGCCTTATTTTCTAAAATTAGCATCTGATTTTATTGCACCACTTTTGACATATCTTTTTAATCTCTCCCTGGACACGAATGAAATTCCACTTATATGAAAATCTGCATGTGTTCTTCCTCTGTTAAAAGGGGGAGACCAGACAGAATTAAACAATTACAGACCCATCTTGAAATTGTCCATCCTGGCTAAGGTTATGGAAACTGGTGAATGAACAATTGAAAGAGTTTCTAACTACTAACAATATATTGTCTAATTCTCAATCAGGCTTTTGTGAAAAACGCAGCACAACTACAGCAGCCCTGAAAGTAGTAAATGATTTCATTGACTCTTTAGATAAAAAACAGGTAGTTCGCAGTGCGTGCAGGTAGATGGTTTAAATTCCAGCCCTCTTAGTGTATCCAAGGGTGTGCCCCAGGGGTCAGTGCTGGGACCACTCCTATTTATATTATATAAACATTCTTGATCAAAATGTCTCCAATGCAAATTTTCATTTCTATGCTGATGATACTGTGATATACTGCTCTGCATCTACACCAAACCAGGCTCTTTGTCCAGCCACAACTTGCTTTTGATACTGTACAACACACCTTGTTTGATGAACAAAACAAAACAAAAATCACAGAACCTTTCACACATCACTACTTCTCAGGGCTCCGAGATTGAGTCTGTTTCTCAATACAAGTATCTCGGTGTCCTAATTGATGATTCTCTCTCTTTTAAACCTCACATTCAGCAGTTAGCAAAAACACTGAAGCTGAAACTGGGTTTTTATTTTAGAAACAAGTCTTGTTTTTCCTTTGAGGCCAAAAGGAGACTTGTTGCTGCCACTTTCATGTCAGTGCTGGACTATGGCGATGTTATATACATGCATGCATCCTTTCAAAGCTTGAAACGGTTGGATACTGTTAACCACAGAGCTCTGAGGTTCAACACAAACTTTAGAGCCCTTACTCATCATTCATTGCTCCTTGTATGAGCGGGTTGGTTGGTCTGCATTGTCCACCCGTAGACTTAATCATTGGCACATTCTCATTTACAAGGCTATTCTTGGTCTGCTTCTCCCATACCTACAAACCTAAATCAAAAAGAAAGGCACAGTAAGATATTGTCTTCATTCTGAGGACTTATTACTACCATCTGTCCCTCAAGTCCGGACTGAATTGGGAAAGGGGGCGTTTAAGTATGCGGCCCCCTGCGCTTGGAATCGGCTGCAAAATGTCCTGAATCTCCAGGAGCCGGTTTCACTGGTAGCTTTTAAAGTACTTTTAAATGACATGGAGGCTGTACACACTGGCTGTAGATGTTATGAAATGATTATTCGGACGATCCTTGTTGTTTATCACTTGTGGTAAATATATATGAAATTTTGATATATTATGAACTTATAACTCACTATCTATTCCCATCATAAATGTTTTACGTTTATGTTATATGTTTTAATGTCTGCAACCTTGTTAATTGTGCTGCTGCCAGGATGCTCTTGGAAAAGAGATTTTTAATCTCAATAACTTTTCTTTCTGGTTAAATAAAAGGTAAAATAAAAATAAAAACTTATGGTTAAATATCTCATGCATTTGATCATAAAACGTTCTAAATAGTTCTGTGATGTTATTTTTAATTACCGTACAGGTTAGTTCCTTACAAACACATTTCTCTATTTCACAGAACATTTAGCTTTTTGTATTTTTTTGGTAGGATTTTGGAGTCAAGAGTTTATGTCTCAACCCACAGATAATGAAGAAAAGCAAGTTGAGAAATAAATGTGATCAGATTTCATTTTCATGCAATGATTGTTATCAGCTTTGGCACTGATGTGGGAGTAACAGCAAAACATATTTGTCTTTTATCGACAATGTGCGCACACGCAAACACAATCACACACACAGAGGGAAAAAAGGATGGAGGGAATGGAAGATGAAGAGAAAGTGCATGAGCTGTTGATTGTCAGCATACTTTCATGTATACTTGGAAACACAACCACACTCTCACCCACACTGTCGCAAACAAAACCATGGTGAGGTAAAAATAGCCTTTGTAACAGTATTAGCGCACACAGCCAATTAACTGGTATTGTGTTTAGAGGCTTCTAGCACTCCAGAGGCTACACAATCCACCAGCGAGAATACAGAGCCGTTAGCTAAAACAGAGATCAGCTTTTGTTTTAGATGCAGAAAGGAGATAAAGGAGAAATTCCCACTCAAAACTGTTACACATAGCATAATCAATCTGGAACATTCAGTGCAGTACAGGAGACTTTAATGCTGTAATTTTCCCTTTTGGTCTACTTGCCACCAATCTGCCTTATCTGGTGCTGCTTGTACATTTTCCAAAAATGCCATTCGACAACCCCGGGAGGACAGACAAGAACCTTTTATTCAGCTTTGGGTTTTTCGTGTTCACAAAGACAGCGATAAAATTGACATAACAGAAAAGAGAGGCCCTTTCTCAATACCTACACTTTTATACTACTATGCACCATGAAGTTTCCCATGGCTGACAAATGTACACACATTTGATCTGCCAGTACTCTACTGCTTTGGCACAGTATTCAGAATTACATTCAGACAAATAAACAGCAGTGTGTTAAAAAGGCAAGGGGCTGCGTAGGTGTAGGCATGCTGTTTCCAGTTTCCATGAGATGAAGACAAAGACCAAGTTGAGAAACCATGAGTGTCAAGGCTTACAAGATACTTAAATACTGCACAGTTCACTATGAAGAAGGTTTTTTACAACTCTAGATATTATAGTGACAATCATGTTATCATTTGTTGCAACATTCACAGTCTATACAGTAGAATAAAACCTTTCACGTTCAAATGTAATCCACCTAGAATTCACAGTTGCACATGTTTGATTGGCCAGTGTATTGTATTGCCCAGTGACATCACATGGTCACAAGTGTGTCTCACAATCCATTACATTTTATGTCAAGAGGAATATTTTTCCCCAAATGAAGCCCTTGAGTCAAACCTACCTTGGGAAGAGGGAAGGACAAGTCCGTCAGGATCTTTACGGGTCAACCATCTCTAGTACCGAATGTAGTTCCCCTTAAGTGTTGGTAAATACCTACGAAATACGTAGAGCGGTATCATTATAACAACACATAACAGTTGCCACCTTTAAATGAGCACATTGTTATGGCAGAAAATTGTGTCCTCTTTTATGTATGATCTTTTAATATTATTTATTATTATTATTATTACTATTCTCGTTATGGCTTATAGATACATGTATAGTGTTTTTTATCCTTAACCTTTCCTCTCCTATACTCCTTATGTTAGTCTGTCCACATTTACTGGGGTTTAGGTCAGAGCTGTGAGATTGTTTTGGTGTTTTCCTCTCTTGTTGTTCCTCTCCTCTCCTGGAATGTTCATTCAAAGCCGAGAGAGGATCTCTGATCCCCAAAACATAGAAACCTAGACTGTGTAAATGATGATGCATCCCTTTGCTCGAGGCCAGACGCCCGAAGCCGCCTCAGGCGGCAGGTCTCTGGACCAGCTGTATACATGTTTAAGTACTTCTCTGTGTATTCTCTTTTGTTAAATAAATTCTTCAAAGATTCAACGGTTGGTTGTAACTCAATTCTTTGCTCAACCCCTTACCAGGAATATAATTTCCACCACACACATCACTGGTCATATTGCTGTCATCATGTTCTTTGCTAGTTCTACACAACATAATGACATTTGCAGGAGAAACTTCTTAATAACAAACTTGAAATGTTAAATTTTGCTGCCATTTCTTAACAAAAGTTTACTGCCACAAATAGAGTAAACAAGGGTCCTAGAAAAAAGTGATCGTCCGGGGAAAACTGATGTCACCCAGTCTCTTCAATCACTTTCTGGCAAGTGAAATACAGCATTTTATGGGTTGTATTGTCCATTTAAAGGTATTCTAACAGGTAACATGTACTAGGTAAGCTATAATCTATCAAATATAACTCTTCCGAATGAATGAAAGGTGGTGATGGGAAAGACTCCATCTCATGACATTCAAAAAAACAACATAAAAAATGCTGTTCCACAGTCCATCTTAAAAACATTACTTATGTCAAGTAAACCCTCTTCCCCTCAAAAAAACAGCTTTGATTTCCGTGCAACAGGAGTTACCTGATGTTGGTTTGTCATAAGTTTTATGGCTTTGTAGGACGTGAAGACTAGCTGGAAATGTTTGGCAATTTTCAGGGCAGCTAACAGGACAGACCGTTTCCTACCAATACAATATTATGTGGCTGCAGTACCGGAGGCTGCAGTTTCAGGACCGCAGTTCTTTTGCGACAGCGCCATCTAGTGGAGTGGTGGTGGTAATGCACAGCAACACGAAGGAGGTTAACCCTGTCTGCTAGCACGTCGGCCTGTGCGCAGCTGTAGGATTAACATGTGTTGTGCCGAATTCTGCCTGCCGAGAATCGCACGCACCTCGCGGGTGATAACGGTCATTTATGCTGAGAAAAAAGGTGGATGCAAATCTCGGCAGGTAGCCTAAAAAATTTGATCTGCCTAATTATGCATCCACCTCTTTAGGTCCTTTTCAGAGACTTAGCTGTGCTCATTAATCAAACGGCGTTATCACCACATAGCCTATATTTAGGCTACTGAATGTCAAGGAATGGTCCTTCTTCTAAGTGTATTAAAATATTAAAGACTCTAAAGGTTCATAAAATATGTACTTAGAATCATTTAACACCATTGATGGACCCCACAAAGAATATTATAGCGTTTAAAAGAAGATTTAGGAGGTGCATGCAATTCTCGGCAGGCAGGCAAAATTCGGCATAACACCGGTCCACGTGCATATAATCAATAACTTAAATTTAGGCGCACACTTGGTGATGGTTGTGGTAAGGACAACTGGCTTCTGATGTCATCCAGTCTCTGGCAAGTGAAATACAGCATTTTATGGGCTGTATTGGCCATTTAAAGGTTTTTTAACAGGTAAAAAAGAGTGGATTGGTTGGTAGGCCTACACAGCAAGAAAAATAAGGTAGAGTCGTAAGGATAATTGCAAAATTGTCTTTTATATCTAAGTCGGCGGTAATGTTAATGTCATGTTAATTATACCCTACACTCCGTTTTCCAAATATAAACAAAGATATTAGACATAGGCCTACCGACATTCACTTTTCAGCATCACACCTGTCCTAGGATTGCGGTCCTGAAACTGCAACCTCCGGTACTGCGTCGGAAACATTTGTTTCCACAGGGAAAATTCATTTGAATACCCCCTTAAATGGTAATGACAACTCGATCAAAGTTTTGCTACAAAAAGCCATTAAGTTCTTAAAAGAACTCCAGCACAGAAAACATTTTTAAATATGTTAGATGTTAGCGGTGTCTTTTGCAATGCATGTGTATGGCAAACGTTAACTGGGAACTATTTTCGACTGTGTCCAACATGACAAACTCGACACTAGGTGCAGCACATCTTTCGCTAATATTTTCAATTTATTAACTAATTAAACTAGTGAAACTAGTGAAAAACACAATCTGTCAGAACCCAGTGTCTTGTTTTTTCCAACTGTAAAGACAAAAACAACGCATTTACAATGAAAATCTGAATATCCTCACATTTAATAAGCTGATACCAATTAATGCATTTTTGCTTTGTAAATTCTCAGACAATTATTGTGTTTTTTCCGAATCATTGTTTCAGCACTTCATAGAAGTCGAGACAGAAACAGTCCCCTCTCAGTTTGATCTCATTCACTTTCACTGTACTTTGTCATTTTTATTGAGTTTTTCCCCATAAGAAGAACCCCTTACTGTTCCCGAAACTCCAGATGAAAGTGACCACTGGTGTTGTTGTCATTATTATTGAGTTTCCAAGTTGTCACTAAACGCAAAAATATAAAACCCTGTTTCCTGCACTGTCACGGGAAAGTCAATTGAGCTGCGTGAGGACAGTTTGCTCTGATATCGCGTTGGGAACTGCTGATTGTTTGGTTTACCACCTGTGGTCTGAAGCCTGAAGAAGATTGCCAGCCACCCGCTGTGCAGCACTGCTGAGTGAGTGATGGCTGTGTGTGTGTCAGAAAAATATCCAAGTGTGTGTCTGTGAGGAAGAGATTATATGTGTGGAGTGTGGAAGGAAACAGAGTTTATGAAAGCTGTATATGTGTGGGACTTTTAGTTTAACTCTTGAAGTTGAGTGTGAGTGTGTGTATGTGTCTGTTTGCAGCTGTGTAGGCATAGAGTGTGTTTGTGCATCAAAAGGTGTGTGTTATCTGTGCAGGTGTGTGTGTGTGTGTGCGCTGTTTCAGTTATGTGTGAGCATCAGAAATCTTTCATCACAGCAAGGTGCGCGAGGATGAGATAGAGAGACTTCGAATAGGCAACAAAAGCAATAACAGCACAATCTTTGTAGTTTATGGGTCTGAAATTGAATTTGTGCATCAAACGTGTTCACCTGCCATGTCAAAGCGGGTCACGTCATTTCAGCTCTGCCGGTGTTTTAATCTCCGAACCTCCGGCGAACCCCAGCTCACCCATCTCACCGGCTGACCCCAAAATGGCTGCAGCAAAGCCATTAAACTGTCTCGTCCAATTACGGAGCCACTTTATCTGACACACGCACGCGGCCATATTCCGCTGCAGCCGGTCACTAGCTGCTCAGTGACGTCTGTTAATACACTGTGATTCACCCTCACCAGCAACTATCATAAAGCTTTAATGTCTTTAATGAGTGTGTGTGTGTGTGTGTGTGCGCGCGCCTGGTGTCTTGCTTTTTTGTCTCAGTTGCTGTTTCAGTTGGTGTCTCGGTTGTTCAATTCAAGTCAGTTCAATTCAGTTCACTTTTGTTTCAATTTCGTTCAGATCAGTTTGGTTTAGACGAGTTCGGTTCAACTCAATTTGAGTTGATTTGAAATAAAACAGAAATGTACCATGTCTGTAGCCATAGCTCAATTGAATTACCAATTGAATTTACAAAAACAAACTCACTGAGGTTTTGTAGTTACAATTGGTAAACATAACATTATAAAACAATAACATGATATAATTATATCATCATTATACAATTCCAATGATATGAGCAATTTAATTAATTAGGCTAATTCCCCTATGCCAAACAAAAATAAAAGCTTAACCCTTAATTATACAAGGGCTGTACAAACACACTAAACTGTATTACATGTATCAGCATTTAATATTTACAGAGAGACCTGTGGTTCTCAAACTGTGGGTCAGGCAGTCCTGGTGTCAAATAGCAGAGCAAGCATGATCATGGGGGAAAATGTCCAGTTTAGCTAAAGTTAAGTACAGGGGATTCTTCATAATTCAGGTTAGAGAGATTCATTGAGACAATAAAAAGATGGACACATTTTTTACAATAAAAGTAAAAACAGATGATTGTCAGAATAATCTCATCATTTAAAAACAAAAGTCTATCTTTCTCAGTGTGTCAGAAGAGCTTTGATTTTTGTGGCTAATAAAAGTTTAGGCAGCTTGGACACAAGGATTAGCATTTTTTTTAATTTGTAAAACAGTGGGAGAAAAACATCCAGCCATCTGGTTATTTGAATAGATTTAGGATGACTCAAGCTGAAATTTGGAGATCCATTAGAATAGACAACCAAGGTAATTCATATAATTATAGCCTAAACTGTATAAATTCTCACATTTTACAGTAGGCCTATATTATTACATCATATTAATGCACATCCACAAAAAATCAGTAAATAAACAAAATAAAGACACCTGATCCCTCTTCACCATGGATTTAAAATCATCCCACTTAATGTAATAATAATAATCTGTACTGCCAGCAGTTTACAAAATGAAGTGCATGTCTGAACGGGCTTTTGTGTCTCATACTATCATAGTCTTTATTGCTACAGTTTATATCTCCGTGTCTGTCTATCTTTCTCTGTTTCTTCCTGTTCTCAGTCTCTCTGTCTCGTCAGTCTCATTTTCTTAATTCCATCGACTCCCTTCCTCTTTCCTATCTCGTTCATTCTTCTCTTGTGGCGATCTGTCCCTTCCGACTTCCTCAGAGAAAATGGAAATGTAATTCTATTCAATTAATCCATCATCCCGCTCTCTTTGCCCCCCCCCCCCCCCCCTCTCGCTTTCTTTCTTTCTTCTCCGTGCTTGACTTTGTCCCCCAGACTACCCTTTAGCTATCACCACATAAAAGGTAGTCTAACAGTACAATGTTATCATAACAGTTGTATCAATCAGACACTGCTGCTCATCCACCATTGAAATGGTTTTGACAGTAATTGATGCCTTACCCAGCTGCACACAAAAGGCAATTGGGGAACAGCACTGCCTTTTTTTGTCAGATGCAATTGCACCATTGGTGAGAACCTTTTCTGTATTTGAACTTCTCTTGCGAATTGTTGGAAACAGACTAAATTTGAGGAAAACAACCAAGTATTGTTGAAAGGTCCTTATTATCCTGATGCCTGAGTGGTCTCCAAGTGCCAGCTTACTTGTTTGCTTTTTGGCATCACACTGCGCCGTCAGTGCTTCTCTCTTCCACGTTTCTTCCCTGACTTAATGGGACACTAGAGGATAAAGGACAGCAGGCAGAGTGTCCACTAAGCGGAAAGGACCTGATCACGCTCCTGCCTGGTTTGTTTATTTTAAAATAGCTTTACCTGCCTTTTCTCCCAATCTCCTGCTCTGTTTACTTTGCTTTATCTGTCATACGTGATCCCTCGAGGCACAGGGATGGTTCAGGTATACTGTTCTATAACACAAAGCATAGATTTGAGTGATTTGTATCATTACGTATCTCTAGTACTGATTTTTTCCAATATGTCAACCAGAAATGAGACGCAGTCCTCATCAAAGATACTATCATCTGGCCCTTGTTTGAAAGACTGTCTCTCTCAAATGGTGGCGCTGGATGACTCATACAGTCTGTATTTGCAGTTGTACCAGTGTCATGAGTATCAGCAAAATCTTTCAAATATTGTATAAGGAAGATATTGTGCTTCTATCCAGCATAAACAGACAGCTTATCTAAACTGATTATCTTGGTCCAGCAAAAACTTCCAGTTCGGCCATTTGATGTTGATGTTATTGTTGTAAAAGACAACTGACACTATCGGTCACCTAAAGGAAAGGAGGACCAAACTGCCAGGCTCAAACTGTCAAAAACAGATGGGGATTAATGGGGGAGAATATATTTACTTTACAAACAATAAGAAATATGGCAGAATGGCACTTGAAGTT